ATGATGGACATTTTGACTGCTCCCATTTTTTGGCAATTATGAATAAAGCTTCTCTAAACATCAGAGTGCAAGCTTTTGCTTTTTTTGGGGGATGGAGGGTGAGTGTCATATAATCTCAACTCCTTTAGGTTTATGTTAAAAAGCAACATTATTGGTATGCATGTAAATAAGTTTAGTTTTTGTAAAAACTGATTTCTAAAGTGGTTGTAGTATTATACATTCCCACCCACAGTGAAAAAGAGATTCTGTTGCTCGATATCCTTGCAAGCATTTGGTATTGTGAATGACCTATATTTTGGCCATTCGATAGGTGTGCGGTGCCTTTTATTTTAGTTTCCTTTCCTTGTGGATTATGAGTGGATTATATTTTCACATGCTTGATATCTTCATACCTTTTTTTTGGTGAGGTGACTGTTAAAGTCTTTGCCCATTTTCAAACCAAGTTGTTTCTGTATTTTTGAATTTTAACAGTCCTTTAATAGATGTGTCTTTTGAAAATATTTTCTCCCAGTCTATGACTTGTCTATCTTGACCTTTGCACAACAGGGTTTTTTAATTTTAATTAAGTTTCGCTTATCAATTATTTCTTCTGTGGATCATTCATTTGGCACTGTATTTAAACAGAGGACCATTCCCAAAGTCATCTAGGTTTCTCTGATTTTTATCTCTCAGGAATTTTATAGTTTGCATTTATGTTTGTGACTCATTTTGACTTAATTTCTCTGATGGGTTTAAAGTCTGCGTTTGCATTTATTTTATACAATGTGACTATACAGTTGTTTAGGTTCTGTTTTTGAGAAAAGGACCTTTGTTTCATTGTATTGTTTGCATCTTTGTCAAAAACCAGTTAACCATATTTATGAGGGTCTGCTTTCGGGATCTTTTACCCGGTCCATTGATCTATTTGTCTCTTCTTTTGCCAATAATGCACTATCTTGATGGTTGACTCAGTTATAGTAAGTTCTGAATTCGAGTAACATCAAATCTCCAACTGTGTTCTTTCTTTCAATATTCCGTTGGCTATTCTGGTCTTTTGCCTTCTAAATTTAGAATTAGTTTAATAGCATTCAAAAAATAAATTTGCTGGAATTTTGATTGGGACTGTATTGAATCTATAGGTCAAGTTGGGAGTAACTGATATCTTAACAATACTAAGTCTTCCTATTCATGAACACAAAATCCCTCCATTTATTAGTCCTAAAGCTAGTTAAAATTCATTGCTCATGCTTCAGGAGATTTGGTTTGAACTAATTTTGTCAGCCTGGTTACTACGACTATATTTTATGTCAGGTTCCCTAAACTGACTTGATCTTGCTTTCTTCACTTATTCTTCAGACCAATGATATAAATATAAGGCATTATACCTAATAGTCTCCATTTCACTCCTAAGCATTCTTTCACTCATAATCTTAATATTTCATATTGTTCTCTAACCTAGGTTCCAAACCTGGCTGACTGATATCCATCCAGCAGCTTATTAAATATTCCTGATAGTGAATTTGTAATACCGGTTTATAAGCTGTCCCCATTGGGGGAAATTGATAACTCTCTGCATTAGTACTTATAGCTTTATGAGAATCCCCATTTATCTCAACATAAAAAGTTTAATAAACCACATCTCTAATTGAGCCTAACATTCTTCTAGTGTTGCAAAATACTAAGGGCCTAGACATATATATAATACCAGTTTCCTAAACTTATTTTTCCTTTCTTGCTTTGATTCTCCTTTCTTAACAATTCAGTGGCTTTAAAAGCTTTCACATCTTATCTCAATTTTAGGGTTTCAAAGCACTGTTTATTATTTTATGCCCACCCCATACTTCTGAGTATATCATAAAATCATCCCAAAGCTCCTACTGAGGGAAGACAAATTGAAAATTATTGATATGGCATGTCTCACAAGCTATTGCTTTACAGCCTCTAGGCAGAACCCAGAATACCTCTGCCTTATGTTATTTTGAGCCATTTGCTCTAACTCCATCAAGCTCCTCAACAGAAAACCAATAAAGGAGACTCCTCAGCTGAGTGAAAGTTGTTGATAAATTAAGAGAAACAAAATAGGCACAGTCTCTAGAGCGCTGTAGGCCTCAGGCTTCACTGCCTCCTGTTTCAGGGAAGTTGGGTGGGGAATCTATGGGCTGGCCATGATATGCATCATTGCTGTAAGGCCTGCTCCAGGTCAGTCCTTCCTGAAATGTTTCTATATTCTGAGGAAAAACGGAGATTCTAGTGTATATTTCCTGTAGCGGTTTCAGGCTTCTGTGGGCTGAGCCAAAGTTTGGAAATGAACTGCTCCTTCTGAAATGTGCTGAGAATGTGTTTTGATGTTCTCTCAAATCTCTAAGAGGCCTTCTGTTCACATGTATATCACCTGGTAGTTTTGTGTAAGAAATAAAGAGAAAAGTTCATCATAATTAGGAAATTTAGGGGAGTAGCAGGTCCTTCGCCTTAAGAAACTTTCCTTCGGAAAGAGGAAATTTGTCTCTATGTCAGAATGTGAACATTGTTTTTGTGTTTCTTCTACAGACTTGATAAAATGTCTTTCTTCTCATCATGGATCAAAGTTATTTTCATTATTGCCTTGGCATTTCCTCTTTATTCTGGTGAGTACACTTCCAGTTCCGGATAAAGCAATTCACACATCTTAGAAAATGCAGGAAACAACTGTTATTGTCTAGAAATGGAGCAGCTTCCTTCATTAGGTTTCTAATACTTAAACTGGCAAAATGAAAGTGGGTATGTTACAAATCCCCTTAAAAAATGACTTCAGTGGACTGCTTTTCCTCATTTCCCACCTTAGGAGATGGAAGCAGAGAGTTGGCTTAGAATGAGCAGTAGAACTGAGCTTTTTCTTCATTTATGACTAAAGACTTTTACCTAATTAATATTTTCTTTGGAAATCAGATTCAATGTTTGCTTAGTTCAGAGTGTAGGTAGAAATGAGGTCCCCTAGACCTGACATTCCTATACAATTGATTTGTTGTTTTCCAGTTGTCAGACCACTAAAGTAAAAACTTTCTGTGAGGTGAGAACTCCTTAATCCCTCTCCTGGAAATTGCACTTCCTTTAGTTCAAGGAGACTGATGAATTTTGGAAAAATAGTTCTGAATCATCGAATAGATCCCTGATATTAGAATGAGTATTATTTCATTAAGAAATAAATAATTTCTTCATGTTAACTGACATTATGCAAGGCATATTAGGGGTATTAAACAAAGCACTGTCTTCTCTGACTTTGATATCTCATGAATTAAAACAAAAATAAAAAGAACTATGTTATCTTCACAACAGAGTTTGGTAATTGCTGTACAATACTTCAAGTTATTTTTCGCAGAGGAGAGTAGTTTGGAAGTATATTTCCAATTTGAAGCTAATTTGTGAACTTACTGTTTTGTTACTATCGCAAAAGCCTCACCTTAATATTGGGGGCACTAAGTAGGCAATTTTGTAGTATTTTGCTACTAAAAACTACAAGTTCTTCCCACCAGAGATTCTGATTGTTTTCCCCTCTTCTTCTTGTTTTTATATATTCTTTTTGTGTGCTGGTTGCAGAAACCGCTCTTGCACCTCCTCTTCCTCAAAAAAAAAAAAAAACAAACAAAAAAAAACACAAAAAAACAAACTGGTCCATCCACCAGTAAGTTAACACTGATTAATTAGTAAATTGAAAAAGATAAATCTTAAATTGTTTCATATTGTAAATTTTAACAACAAATTTTACCAAACATCTTGGCTGGTATAGCTAGATGGTTAATCTTTGACCCATGAGAATTCCCTGGTTTATTTCCCAGTCAGGGAACATGCCTAGGTTGTGGGCTCAATCCCCAGAAGAGGGCATTTAGGAAGTAGCCAATAGATGTCTCTCTCTGTCTTTGATTTCTCAATTTCTCTAGTCTCTTTTCCTCACTTTGCCCTTCTAAATAAGCTAATGTGAAAACCAAACATAATTCAGAATCCCTAAATCTGAGGACGTTAGAATTGGAAGTGATTGGAAGACCCCCCCCCCTTTTTTTTAACTTTTCTTCCCAAAGCTGAAATTTGAATTCTATAGAATTCAAAAATATTTATCCTGCACTTATATTAGAATAAGCTCTGTCATCCAGAGCTACAAATCCTATCACTCTTCCCCATTTAATGCCCTTCAGATGATGAATGCAATGTCAATCCTAAGTCTGTCTTTATTCACGCTTATATTTCTTACTGCTATCAACAAACTTTATGCTCTCTGGTCTCCAAACCTCACTTTACAAGGTCATTTTCTTTAGAACATGCTTCAATTAATTCACATTTTTCTTATAGGGGGCAGCCATTGTTAAACACATTATTCTAAGGCTTTATGATATTAAGTTTATGACTTAGTATCCCAAAATGATTTTCACATGAGCTTCTGTTTAACATAATATCTTGAGGCAAGAAGGCCCAGAATGTAATGTTATTCTCAAACATGAGATCTATTGTCTCCTGTTACCTCATAAAACTAAGCTACCCATCATTAGTTCCCACTGGGTGTATTCATCCCTTACTAATTGCAAATAATTAATGTGGTTTTACTTGCTTTTAAAATATAATTTGAGGTAAATAATTGGTACCTAACTTACTTGCAAAAAAAGTTCCTGGGAATGCCTATTATAGACATATAAACTTATAGGGTCAATAAGACTACTGACTAATGATAAATCCTCTCTTAACAATAAAAAAAGTGAACACTGAGTTTCCCAGATGGGTTTTTCCATTTTTATTTCATTTCTTTCTGTGAGAAAAATGTCTTATAGAAGCCTATTAAAGTTTGGATATTTATGGGAGTTGAGGTGTGAAGCTAATTTTAAAAATGACAATGACTCAAGAAGTAACACCTTACAGTATACCAAAGTTACTCAGTAATTTTATTACCTCACAATGACCATGTTTAGCAATTAGGGTGGGGGAGTTTTCAAATATATAACATGGTGGTGATCAACATGCTTTATTCAGAAAGCTTCTACTGAAGCGTTACCCTTAGCTCCATCCAATCCAACTGAGTCTGAAACAACTGGCTGTAACATGAAGGCTTTTCTTTTCCTTCCCTTCATGTTCTTGGCCATGTTCTCAGGTAAGGAAAGCTGCATGCAATAACTTTTCTTCCAACTCTCAAAGTAAAGAGTTAGAAATGTTCAATGATTTAATAATACATTGTCAGAAAATCTTAAAAAGTGGGAGCATCTATCAGACATTGAAGTGGACTAAGGTAATTTCAGATAACTTATAGATCAGGGTTATAAAAATAGTGATCGGGTGAGACAACAGTGGATAGTTTGATGTGGCTAAAGAGAAACAGAAGCAAGGAAATGAGAAAAGTAAGACATCAGACTAAAAAGAAAAAAATTAGTCTAAGAGGATTAGGTGAATTTGTGAATGCTCAAATGTATGTTCCACAAAGAATATGATTTTGGGTAATGATGCAGGTCTAGATGGTCAAATAGGAAAGGGCTCAAATCCTGGCTTTTCACTTTTCTACTTTTGTTCTTCAGAGTAATTTACTTAACCTATTTTAGCCTCAGTTTTCTCATTTGCAGAATGAAAATAGACATTCCAACAGGATGTTATAGGAATCATGTGTACACTAGCATTAGACACCATTACTTGCATTTTTCTTAGGTGCCTATCACTCAAAATACTTCTCTCTATTCCTTACCTCAATACCATTAGGTTGTCTGTTTTCAGAGATGTAAATTTCCAGCAAGCAATGAAAATTTCTCAAGATGATAAATGACACAGATAACATATTTCTCAAGAAAATAAATTAGGATAAATTAAACCTATTTTAATTTATCTCTAAATTATGACCTTCTACTTGATCATTTTTTTCTAATAGCTAGTGAAAGGAAATAAATGAAAATAAAGTGCCTATATGACCTTCATTTGCTTATTGTTGAGACACAAGAAATCATGGTTCTCTTCTCATTTTAAGCATTGCAGTTGTTTTCAGATTGTTGATAACAGGGGTGATCAGACCCATTCTGTTAAGAGATATCTGTCTGTAATAATATTGAAAATAAATTGGATGTGTGAAAAATTGTCCAGAGATGCCATTTAGCAAACTGTCAAAGTAACAGAGTTAAGAAATAAGAATATAGAACTAAGTGATAAGATGGGAAAAAGGAGGAGGAAATGTGTGTGTGTGTGTGTGTGTGTGTGTGTGTGTGTTTCTCAGGGGACAAAAGCATACAGAAAAAAAATTTCTTACTAAATATGATGGCAGGTACCATATTTCTTATGTATTGCAGTGTCTTGCTAGATAACATTTAGTATATATTCAGCAAGGATTTGTGGCTGGAAGAATGTACATTATAGTAATACTATATGTAATGGTTATATGGTTTTGAAGGATAAAGAAGAGTGAGGAATCAGGAATGCCTATTAAAATATACAGCAATACCAACCATGAATTTAGAGTTTGTAAAATCAGAAGAGAAAAATATGGAACAAAAATTAAAGATAATTATTTTACAAAATTAAACTTAAAAATGGGTGGTTAAACCATATTTTAATACCTTAGTTATCTTTTTTTACTAAAATATTTCACCACTGATTTTTATCCTACAAATTTATGTAAAAATTTTATATATTACTAGAAATGTCATTAAATCATGGTTTGTAATAGTTAAAGAAGAAAATAAATTAAGGACTCATTGCTAAAAGACTGGTTAAATAAATTATTATAAACTTAAATGAGATCATATGCAGCCATTGGGACAATAATTAAGGTGATCTCTCTATATTTGTATAGAGGTATCCTAACTGCATATTTCAAGGGATAAAATGAGTACAGTAGTGTATACAATGTGCCACCAATTATGTTGAAAAATATATTCAAATATGTTTGTAAATACAGAGATATCTGTAATAATACAGAAAACCCTGGTAGGTATGCTTGTGTTCTATGTAGAGAATTGGAGGTGTTAGGACCGAAGATAAAGGGAACGTTACTTTAAACTATTTACCATTTTATATCCTTATGATTTGATGCAATTTGCTTACTAGTATATGGCCTTGCATTATTTCAAAAAGCCAAACAGTCTACAACAAAAAATAGATCAACCAATCTTTTTTTTTTCCATTTTATCTATATTTTTATTCTATTTGATTTCTACTTGAATTTAGTTCCTGCTAATAAACAATGTTTGGTTCTTAAAACTCAGGTATACACTCATTGCTCTGCTAAAAATAAGTCATTTGTTATCAGTTTTTCTTGCTATGTAACCCGTATTTCTTATATGTCACCTCCTCCAGGAGGAGAAATAATTAAAAAAAAAAATACAAAGGAAGCTCATTAAGAAAAATAAAAAGTGAACCTTAATAAAACTTTTGTGAAAACCCCAAATTAAGAAAGTAGGGGAATAAAGACAGTCATCAAATAGAAAAGCAAGAAAGCCAAAAATAAACCCTTTTACCAAAATGAGTATAAGAAAAGCATAAGACCTAATGGAATACCATTGTACTTAACAGCTCTAAAGTCATTGCATTTGCTTATATATTGTGTTCTAACCTCTATTTATTTTGGAATAGAATCTGAATAATTCTAATATATATATATATATATATATATATATATATATATATATTATAGCTAGTATAATAAATCTATTTATCTATCTATCTATCTATCTATCTACTTATCACATACATACAGATTGGGTGAGCTTCCAAAATAAATTTGTGAAGCAAGTAAATAAGATAGAGTGAGTAAATTCTGAATCATAGGTTTTAATCAATAGTCACATAATACCTACCATTTTCTCCAGTGGTTTGACCACAAGAGAAAGAAACAACCACTAGAGAGAGTGTGAGTGATTGATTAATACTAAAGATTTTATGGGAAATTGTGAGCATAAAATTGATTGAAAAAAAATATGTTCTCAGTAAGGAAAACCACTGCCTTTGGAATGGGGTTAATGGGAGAGAATATATCTACAGAAAACAAATATAGAGATAGAGAAGAGGATATGAAAGCAGGACTCATGCCTGACAGCTTTTACATCTGAGTAGTTGATGACATTTTTATAAAATAATGTTGGGAATATAAGAAAGGGTTCTGTGATATGGAACAAGTTTACACAAGGCATTGGTCAGTCCTTTTGTCTTTTTAATTAATCAGGGAATCATTAAAAGGAATTTGTGGTAGTATTAAGGCCTAGTGCAAATAACTTAAGCTCTGATTTAGAAATGAGGCAAGCTCTCTTGAACCCAGGCTTTTGAGACACCATGTAATATAGTGAAGAAAGAGATGGAGGACACAAAATATTCTAAGTTATCAAAAGTAATGGGGAGAAGATTCTGTCTTGAGGTTTGGTTAAAAAAATCCAAGATGCATTAAATACATACTATATCTTGGGATGAATGATGTTGATTTTAAATTCTTGAGGTTAAGTAACTTTATTTTTATTTTGTGTGACCCTCCCCCTTTTTCTTAATCTCCAGTGTCTTCAACACAGACTTCGAAAGCACATGTTAAAATAGAGAAGGGCCAAGAACCTGCACTTATCTTAGAGAAAAACAATAAAGCTGACCCTCAGGGGGGACAAAAAGAATCTAATTTGGAAGGTGATAGCATCAGAAATTTAGACCTCCCTGTTTTTCCTGGAAATCCAGAGGATTATGACCATGTGGGGGAACATAATCAGGAAGGGAAAATAAAAAATGTACATCAGGCTCTGAATGTGCAAGCGAGTTCAGGAGAACCTAACCAAAACGCTGGTTCAGAAATGTCTAGTGAGCACGGAAAACCAGGATCATCTCTCCAGCAAAGGAAGCCGGGGTCTTCTGGCAAGCAAGGGGTTTCAGAATCATCTAGCCAGCAAGGAAAATTAGGATCATCCAGCCATCAGGGGAAGCCAGGATCATCCAGCCAGCAAGGGAATCTAGGATCATCCAGCCAGCAGGGGAATCGAGGATCATCTAGCCAACCAGGAAAACCAGGATCATCCAGCCAGCAGGGGAAACCAGGATCATCCAGCCAGCAGGGGAATCTAGGATCATCTAGCCAGCAGGGGAATCTAGGATCAGCTAGCCAACCAGGAAAACCAGGATCATCCAGCCAGCATGAGAAGCCAGAATCATCTGGCCAACAAGAAAATCCAATGTCTTTTTACAGTCAAGAAGGAATAAAAAATTTAGGTTAATAATTGGATGGCAATATGGAGAGTCAGGTAAGTGTTAATTTCTTTTTTTTCTTGTTTAGTCAACTTATCTCAGCAATTCTATTTTCCAAGTTTTAAAAATTGTTAACAGAATACACTTTACTAAAGACATACACTTTGCAATGACAGTGATTCAACAAAAGAAGAGAGGATTTGGAGATGGTTATTTTTGTATACATCTATGATCATTAGTATCATGGTTTTACATCCATCCCTTATTTCCTACTGCTCTTTTTCACTCAGACATTCTAACTGTACTGGAGTAGCTCAAACCCTCATTAATTGAGCCCCATTTCCACCAGATTTAACTTTCATGCTCATTTCCATCCCATCCAGAATCTATACCCCACTCAGGTGGCATTTCTAAATCACAAATCTGATTTGATGAAAGTTTTTCAGTGGTGCCACAAGATAAAATCCAAACCTGTGAGCAAGGCATTAAAGAGTTTTCAACATTCAACCCCATTGACATTATCAAACATCTCCTGCCACTCTTTCTCACTTATTATACTAGAGGCACAGTGCATGAAATTAGTGCATGGGTAGGATCCCTATTTGCTTCCGGCTACTGTCTGCCAGCCAGGGCCTCTTCCTGGCTTCTGGCTGCTAGTCTGGGCCTTCCTTCATTCTGTGCTGTCCCCTAATGGTCAGTGCATGTCATAGTGAGTGATCAAACTCCCAGTTGGTCAAACTCCCTAGTGGATACTTTGCATATTAGGCTTTTATATACATAGATTGTACAAAATCCTTTGATTTTCTACAAATGTATTCCTAATACTAATGATATCCTTTATTATGGTGTGTACCTTATTGCTTTGTAATGGATTGTCTCTCTATTCAGTTAGAATGCACTTCATAAAAAAGTACCATTTTTCCCAAACCTGTATCCCCAAATCTCAGAATAACATAGGCATAGACTGGGTTCTCTTAAACTATTTGTCAGATAAGTAGACAAATGCCTGATGTCTGGGAGCCATTGTGCAAACACGTGTATATCCATGACACCTGTACTGCCTTCTGAGTTCTATTGTGCTTGCCAGTTTCTCTCCCAACTACCAACCTCTTGATTCAATTTAACAGTGACTCTGTACACTTCACTTAATACATCCAAAAGGGTTTTCTAGAACACTACTTTCATCTCATTTTATTAATGAAACTTCATTTTTTTAATCTCATAACTGGCCATTCCTCAACTCCCTTTAAAATGAAATTTGACTCTCAGTATTTATGAGTTGGCTGGCATGAAGTAGTAATCTCCTGTTACCATATGTTAGGACCCCCTTCCCTCTGGCTACCATCAACTGCTGTTTGTGTACAGGAGTTTCAGTTTTATATTTCACATATGAGTGAAATCACATGGTTCTTAGGTTTTTCTGTCTGACTTATTTCACTTAGCATGATATTCTCAAGGTCCATCCATGTTGATGTTGCAGTATTTATTCAATTGTGTGTATGTACCACATCTTCTATATCCAGTCCTCTATCATGGGACACTGGCTGTTTCCATATCTTGGACACCAATAATAATGCTTCAATGCACACAGAGGTGCATATGTCTTTGTAAATACATGATTTGGGGGCTTTTGGGTAAACACTCAAGAGAGGGATTGCTGGGCCCCATGTGATTTTTATTTTTAAATATATTTTTATTGATTTCAGAGAGGAAGAGAGAGGGAGAGAGAGATAGAAACATCAATGATGAGAGAGAATCATTGATTGGCTGCCTCCTACAGGCCCCTACCAGGGATCAGGCCCCCAAGCCCAACATGTACCTTTGACCGGAATCAAATCTGGGACCTTTCAGTACGCAGGCCAATGCTCTATTCACTGAACCAAACAATCTAGGGCCTATGTAATTTTTAAATCACATTTTCTGTCTATGGTGGTGCCACAGAAATTACTTGGTCCTTGATTTCTCTCATTATCTTTTTTCAGGTTGAGTGGTAGAAACCTGAATCTGTGCAACTGAGTCTAGCAAGAGTCCTCCAGATATAATGGATCCTACATTATTTTCAAGTTTGTTCCACTGCAAATAAAGTCATTTCCAAAGTTGCTTCTGACTTCTTGGATTGTTTATTTTCTAGACTTCCCCAAACCTTGTGTCTATCATTTATCTATTCCCAAAGTACCAAATTGACTGATACTTCAGGACCTATCACTGCAATTTGTACACCCTAATAGATATTTTAAAAATATCAGAATTGCATGTAAAAAAAAAAAGGAATTCCACTTTAGAAATACTTATGTTGTAGGTTGCTGGTAACACACTACAGTTTTTTAAATCACAGTCTAGGTGTTTCTAATGAAGGTAGTCTTTGGAACTTGATATAAAATTGATTTAAGATGTTTTTAAGGATGCATTGATTTGCTTCAGAAGGTCTTGGGAATATATGCAAAATAAATTCTCTGTGTTCTTTTTTCTTAAGGGTGTCCAAAAGTCCCATTAGATTCTTAAAGGGATACATGAGTGCATATATATTTTGAAATGATTACTGATATTGAAATGTAGAAATTTAGTGTATTTATCCAAATTACTAATAGGATTGTTAAAGTCTAAAACTCAGATGATCAGAAGGATCTCACTAGGATATTAATCATGTTGATTAGCAACCTGGGTCTCAAGAAAAGGAAAAAGACACAATACGATGGTGGGATCAGAGCTGGTAAAAAAATGAGTTACTAAAAATGACATCAGAGAGATTGAACAGAGGCTACTATTTTGCCAGTCCCTCTCACAATCTGGGACTGCTAGCTCCTAACCACTGACTTGCCTGCCTGATTGCTTCTAACCACTCTGCCTGCCAGCCTGATAGCCCCCTAATCACTCCTCTGCTGGCCTAATTGATGCCTAACTGCTCCCCTGCCAGCATGACCATCCCAACTGCTCTCCCCTGCTGGCATGATTGCTTCCAACTGCCCTCTCCTGCCAGCCTTATCAAGCCCAACTGCCTTCCCCTGCAAAGCTGATGGAACTGTGGGGCTGAGGGAATTGGGGGACTGTGGCTGGATGAGGTGGGGGCTAAGGGGACTGAGTGCTGCCATCTTGTGGCTGTGGGGGCCAGCATCTTGTGAGGGCTTGACAGTCAATTAGCATATTCCCTCTTTATTAGATAGGATTGTCTCTTGCAGAGACATTGTGCTATCTTCCTAAATTGTTTGGACATCTTTACTTTTGTTGTTAATGCTCAACTGAGGATATTTTTCTATTTATTATTTTTAGAAAAAGTGGGAGGAAAGAAGATAGAGAGAAGAGAGAGAGAAGAGAGAGAGAGAGAGAGAGAGAGAGAGAGAGAGAGAGAGAGAGAGAGAGAGAGGAGAGAGAGGTGACAGAAACAGGGCTGGGGATTGAACCTGTAATCCCAAATATGTACCCTCATCCTGGAATTGAACCTGAGTCCCTTTGGTGTCAGGACATATTCTCTAATCACTGAGTGACATAGGTCAGGCAGGTATCTGTACTTTTAATCTTTTTAATCCATTCCTCCTAGAGCAGCAGAGTGATCTGTTTGAAATATAAATTATATAATGTCACTACTGTCTTTCCTGATTATAACTCTGAGTCCCTATATATTTGGGACCTATAAAAAATTCAGTATATTAAATTATTTCTTGTACTATACTCCTCCTTTTAAGCTGTAATTTAGGCATATTGGCCTTTTCCAATTTTGGTAATATCAATGATTCCTCCAAACAATTATTCATACATTTCATCCTCTTAGAAACTCAACACACCAGCCTTTTGTCTTGTTTATCACTTTAAGTATACTTTATTCAGAGATAACTTCCTAACCACATCCACTGTCTCCCTTGATATATAATATTGCCTTCTAAATACACAATATATTTTTCTTCATAACATAGATCACTTATAAGTGCATGTATTATTGATTGAGATCTGCCTCTCCTACTTCATATAAGCCAAAAGCTTATTTTATTGCTTTTTAGACATCTTTGTTGTGATATTTACATATCAAAACCAGCAATTTTAGGTAAAATTTAATGACTTAAATATACAGAGATACACTATAATCACAACAATTCAATTTTAAAACATTTAGATCATTTAGTAAAGGTTCCTCTTTTCAGCTTTCGGTTGTCCTCCCCTTCCCACTTCCAAACCTCAGCATCAGACAACCAACCACCAATCTCCATTTTATTTTTATTGCTTTGGCAATATAAAATCGACAGCTTATATAAATATGAAAAGAAAAACAAAACAAAACTCTATTTTATCCTTTGTGTCTGCTTCTTTCACTTTGCATAATGTTTCTGAGATTCTTTCATATTGTACCATATATCAGTAGTTTATTAGTTTTTTAAGTAATAATACTCAGTGATTGATTGATACACATTTTGTTTATTTATTCACTGATTAATGGACATTGAAATTATTTCCTTTTTTTTTTTTTGGCTATAATATAGAATGTTGCAGAGGACATGTTTTTATTTCACTTGTATAAGCACATAGGAATCGAAAGGATGGTTCATATGGTAATTTGATGTGCAACTTTTAAAGACCCAGCCACATTCTTTTACAAAGAGGATATGCCCTCTAATATTTCCACCAGCAATGGATGCTGCATCCAGGTCCAAGTCTTCCAACTCCTCACTCGAATCTATTGGAACTCCTTAACTACAGCCAATCTGGTGGGTGACTTCAGTGCTTTTCTTAAAAAGCCAGCCTTATAAGCACATAATATTGGCATATATAGTGGTCAACATTTTGAAAAGTTGGAAAATGAATAGAAGATAATAAACCAAAATACTATCAGTGGCTGCCTCTGGATGATGGAATGAAGACAATAGTTCTTTTCAGCCTTTTAAAATAAAACAGCATCACTTTAAAATAAAGAGGATGTACCCGCCAGTTGACCAGCTGCCCATTGACCTTTGACCTTTATGTGGCGCAGTTGAAGGCCCTTACCCCTCCCCCCCCCCGCCCATGGAAAGTGGTTCCGCCCTCCATTGGTTCCGGCTTCCGGCATCCGGACCCATTTCGCAGGCGCAGCCCTGAAAGAGCGAGGCGTTGAGTGGCAGGAGCCCCATGTGCAGACAGGTCAGGTGAGGCCCGGTCCCCTGGGGTGCCCGGCGGTGTGGACGGATCTCTCCTCAGATGGCTTGCGGGACCCACGGCAAAACCCCCTGAAATAAGTGCCTTTGCTTATTCCACCGTCACCGCCCGCACGGGGCCCCTCGGTGGGCCCTCGCGGCCCTCGGGGCACGGAGGCCAGTTTTGAGTTTCAGCCGCGGACCTGAGCGGGTTGCACACCAGCCCTTGGCTGCCCAGCTAGGAGACCAGAGGAACGCGGCCTGGGAAAGAGGCATCTGCGGGGGAAATCCCAAATTGGCCGTGGAGCGCTAATGTGGGGAGGGGAGGGGTCATTTGTGTGTTGTGTGTCAGTTGCTGGTGGTCGCCCTGGGAGTACCCGCCACCCCCTTCCGGGCCCCAAATGCAGGTCTCTTTATGCCGTTTGTTTTTTAAAAAAATGCTGCCTGGCACACTGTGGCAAAGAAGCGAAAAGAAGGGCTGCTGCGGCGGGCTGACCTCCACTGGGGGCAGCAGGGCCAGGCCAGGTGCACCACTAGGGCCCGGAGCTCAGGTGAGAAAGCCGGGAGAGCTGAGTTTACGGGAGGGCAATTTATTCAATTTGTCCATTGGAAGGAGGTGGGGGAAATATATTCGATTTGCCCTTCGCCACGATTCTGCCAGATTCAGGGTTAGCAGGCAAGGTGGGAGAATTAGAAAAGAAGTTGATGGCTTGCCCTGGTCGGTGTGGCTCAATGGATAGAGCGTTGGTCTGCAGACTGAAGGGTCCCAGGTTCGATTCCTGTCAAGGGCATGTACCTTGGTTGCGGGCACATCCCCAGTGGGGGTTGTGCAAGGGCAGCTGATGGATGATTCTCTCTCATCGATGTTTCTAACTTAAGGTGACCAGACATCCCACTTTTGGCGGGACAGTCCCGATTTTTAACAATTTGCCCCCTGTCCCCAGCGTTTTAAAAAAATCCCGATTTTTGGAGAGAATTCACGACAAGCTCGGGAACAACGGGAGAACGGGAAGGGAATATACGGTTTTCGGCGGCCGTGTGGCTATTTAGCCAGGATGTGAGTTTTATGTTATTTCTGTTAATTTTATAATGTTAAACTTTAAAAATAACAATAATTGTTGAGAACTGATTATCGAGAACTGCTTATCAAAGTTCGCATTGTTGATCAGTTGTTAGAATTCACTCAAATGAGAAATATGCCCAAGAATAAAATAATACTATACATAATTTTTAAATTTTTTTGTTATATTTGTAAACTGTACTTATGTTGAAATTTAAAAATATATATAATGAAAATTTTTGTTGCCCCATATAGACCAAATTTTTAATCAAGAACCCCCCTCTCCCAATGGTATCCTGCTTTACCAATGTTAAAATCCTCCCACCTTATTCTAACTCTCTGTCCCTCTCCGTTTCTGTAAAAAAAATCAATAAAATATATATATTTTTTACAGTTGGAGGCTTTAGCTGCCATTTTACAAAGCTACCCTGTTTCCCCAAAAATAAGACAACGTCTTATATTAATTTTTTCTCCCAAAGTTGTGCTAGGTCTTATTTTCAGGGGATGTCTTATCTTTCCATGTGCTAGGTCTTATTTTCGGAGGATGGCTTATTTTCGGGGAAACACGGTAGGAGGTCACAGACCGTCATGGATTAAAAGAGCGCTTGTGCACAAATTCGATTTGAGCTCTGAAAGGTGGTGGAATCCCTTCATTATATGCCAATTTTTTTCTTTTATAAACCTATTAGTAACTGGAAATGTATTTTAAAATATTTATCCTTATGCATTCACTAAAGCATAAAGTCCTTTGAAGCAGAGATCTCATTTACCTATGCTTGGAATGATATCTTGGATATCATAAGCATTGAATGGTCATTTGTGCAATTAATAAATGGAACAATTCATTCACTGGGATATTTATAAACAGAAGCATATCAAGCTATATTTTAGTTAGTTGGTATATACATTTGACTTTCCAAATTGTCTATATACACTCTGAAAATGCCAGGTTACTCAATTCATTTTTACATTTTAAGCACCCACATGTCAATAAGCCTATAATTCTAAGCTTTTTCATCACTTACCACACATAAGAAATGATAATATTTTATGCAGTACACTGTAGTAAACTAATAAAGCAAGAGTCAAGTAGACTAAAGACTTCTGCTGTCCTGCAACCTATTCAGCAGCCCTGATAACAGAAATGACCAAAATTTAATTTTATTTGCTCCTTAGTCACCTCTGCATACATGTTGAGACACTAAAAAAAAGCTCAATGTGACCAGTAGGGAAAACACTTCCCAAGCATACCATGTACTAAAAAATGCTAATTTGTGTCAGATGATGTATATTTTCTTGGATATAACTTTATTATCCTTGACATCATCTTATCATTGTGAAGAATTGAGACTCAAAGCACTGAATGAAGAATTCTGGATGCACTAAGTGTGGTGATATACTATGCCCTTTATTTCAAATTGTATCTTTTCTATCAACAGATTAACTAACCAAAGGTGGCTTCATTATTACCTGGGGGGAAAAAAATCAGTGAAGTTCTGCCAAGATAATTTTATTGAAATTGATTTTTTATAATTAATTATTGGAGAGAATTACATTGCAGTGGAGATTGGGTATAAGGAAATAAATCTTTGAAGCAAAAGGCAAACTGAAGGCACTTCCAATATTGGAGTATCAGAGGATTCAACAATTCCCTTCATACTTGATACCAAGCTTTCCATTTTTTTCTCTGAAAGAAAGAAGACGGTGTTCAGAATGAGATACAGTGGAAATGTATTTCAGACTAAATGAACTAAATGGGGAACTAGCTTTGTTTGGGGGTAATAACATTGCTTTATTTTAAATAATAATTATATACAAAATATTTATAATAGTAGATGCTTAATAAATAATTTCCCCAATTCATACACCATTGACCCAAACTAAGGGTGCTATTCCAATATCTGCTTTCATGTGCTTACTTAGCTGCTTTGCAGAATTCACAGCGATTATTGTAAGTTTGCCCATCAGTGCCACACACTGGTTTTTGGATCTTGGAACAAGGTCTTTCATCTGTAACTGTTTTCTCAAAGCTGCTGCAGAAAGCCTGTGATTTAAATGAAGTTTCTTATTTTATTTCATGATCAATGATATTGATATCATTAGCTCTTTCAAAGAATAAAAAATATGCTAACCTTTTTTCTTTTTTTGAAGAAACTCCACAATGCTGTCATAGAAGCATTATTTATAATAACTATGATCTGTAAATAGCCCAAGTGTCCATCAGTAGATGAATGGATTAAAAACCTGTGGTACACTTACACAATGGAATACTACACAGATATAAAAAAGAGGGATCTCTTATCCTTTGAGACAGCATGGAGGAACCTGGAGAGTATTATGCTAAGCAAAATAAGCCAGTCAGAGAAAGACAAGTATTGCATGACCTTACTCATATGTGGACTCTAATGAACAAAATAAACTGATGAACTAAAAAATCCATCACTTACAAAGCTATGTCAGGAAGCTTCCTAAATGTATATTTCTAGGACTCAACACCTCTAGAGATCTCACTCCAATTGATAGGTCTAACATGTATACATGAGGACAGAAATATGCATTTTATGAAGATTTTGTAATGACTATAAACAAGGTGTTCAGATCTAGAGTAACTATATACTCTGAGTTGCCTAGGATATTCTCAGTTTATGATTATTTTCTTGTTTTAATTCATATAAGCACCACTTTCACTCTCAAAATTATCCTGATTTGGAAAACAAATAACATTCACACCATACTTGCATAAGCACTATTCTGTTTTCAAAGTTTTGACTACATATAAAATCCTTATTATGGAATGTGATATCTGACTAATAAGAAAATAGGAGGTCATTTTCAAGTCCTTTTCCACTGTTAAAAATGCATCTGTACTAACAATGACACTTTATCCAGATCAGTGAGTCATATTATCATCCCACCTTCTCACAAGACCAACCAAATGAACTCAGAAATCTTAGTAAAATAGCCACAGTAGTTCCCAGCACATCACCGTTGCTAAAAGACAACCTTTTGTAATAGAGAAATTGTCATAACCAAAAAGCACTTACCTGAGAGCCTCCTTGGCTCACAGCCCCTGCAATGAGAAAACAGACATTGATTAATCACAACACTTCATAAGAATTCCAGAACTTTACAGTGAAAAGTTGTCCTCAGAGATCTTCCGTTACACTTGTCTTGCTTTGTGGATGAAGAACTGAGTCCCAGAAAAGAGAAGAAAGCTCATCCAGGACACTCGCCTTGTTAACTACACAACTGAGCTAGAGAACACATTACAAAACTCCCTCTACTTCATTTGCTATTTATGCTTTATGTGACATTTATCCAATATATTGTTTACTTCTATATAATGTTACCTTAAAACTAGACTGTACCTGAAGAAAAGAAGGCAAACTCTGGATCTCTTCTTTGTCAAAGTGGCCTATATTTAACCAGAAAGAGACTGACATTCCAAAATCTAGTATCATTCAGTTAAAGGATAATAAAGGCAACTGGCAAACCAGGTGCTAATCTATAATAATAAAAGTGTAATATTCTAATTAGACTGGAAGTCCTTCAGGATGAAGCTGAGACTGTGAGGGAAGCCCAGGTTCTGGTTGCCAGAGGGAAGCTGGTGCCAGCAGCTGGGGGAAGGAAGGCCTACTCTTGCATGAATTTTGTGCATCGGGCCTCTAGTATAATAATATAATACAAAATAATTTTGAGGGCATTTGAAAAAAATCGTATGATTTATCACCATTTCTACTAACACTAACAATATTTGCCATCTACTTGCAAGAGTTCTAAATTTTAAGAACTGTATTAAATTTCATTTACATTAAGTCTAATATTTCTGTTTTAAAAATAAGGAAACTGAGCTCTTGTGCAACTTGTCTAAAGCCATACGCCTTGTAAATGGCAGAACCAGGAAGCAAACCCAGGTCGCCTAGACCCTAAAGCCAATGTACTTAAGCATAACCTCTGATTGAAAGAAGTCTTGGCACATATAAGGTTCACATTCTATTTTCATGTAATGAAACAGCAGCCACAGACAGTGAGTTGCTCACTACTAAAGTAGCAGTATGAGAATTTAGAAGCCAAACTTAAAATTCTAGTCCTGAGTTTTTTTTCTACTCTATCTACTTATCATCATCATCATCATCATCATCATCATCTATATCATCATCTGTCTAGCATCTCTTTACTCTCCTTAGAGGGTAAGCAAGAATGACTCAACTTTCAGCAAACTAAAAACATCTCAGAAAAATTCTGACATTGAAGCTTTTTAGGTAAGAATTTTTTGAGGGTGACTTTAAATGAAAATTTCTAATTTAAATATATTCCTTGAAAATGAAGCTTATTTGTAACCTTATGCTGTTAATTGTGATCTGATGAGGAGAACACAATTGGTCTAGAAGTTCTAGATTAGCCACTTGGGGCCCATGTGACCTAGAACAGACTATCTCATCTGTAAGATATGATATAATTAAAGTAGCTAATTTGTAAGTAAAATTCCTTCTAAAAATGTGATAGTCACCATCACTAGTCTTTTTTATCATCATTATAATACTTATCCTCATGTTATCATCATCATTATAATAAACAACATCACATCATGACTGCTGATATTGACCTGTCTGGTCCAGAATTTCATTTCAAATATAGTACTCACCAGCAAAGAGGAACAAATAGACCATGCTAACCAAAAGAAGAAGGCTGCCTGATGGCTTCATGTCGACGAGGCCTGTGAGGTCTGTAGGGAATGTTTTAATAGGGTTCATCACTGTGGATGTTCTACAGGCTGTATTTATAAGTGGATCCATATGCATGCATCTATATACCTATAAATGGAGGCCAGCCAGATTCTCCGCCCTGATTTTGTAATCTATTTCCTCAGCGATTAAAGACACCAGAAACCAAAGCAGCTTATTTCATACCTTTTTAAAACAGAGAAACAATGGTCAATTATGATGTTTAGGTAGAATGCAATGAATTACACGTAACATACCCAGAATTTGCTCTCATCAGCATACGGTGATAATTGCAATCAAGTCATTTTCTTTCAGTTAGTATATTTTGGATCTTCCCCCCAGCAAAGTCTTGAGGGCAGACAGCTTTCATCTGGCAGTAACCTGCAGGACAGTCTACACAATTTGCGCACAGTATTAATAATGCCTGGTGTCACAACTTCCAGGAAAATAATAATGTGAGGGTTTTTGAGGTGAGGAATTTATTAGACAGATTAAGAGCACACTCTAATGGTCACTGAACTAAAAATTCTAGATACTCAAGGTTAATATGAATGGGGCTATTTTCTTCAACCCTTCCCTCCTGTGCAACATTTTTATATAACAAGTGTCTCACAGGTGGATTTTAGTCACTGTGCAGAAATGCCGTCCACACTCGTCTTCTTTCTCTTCCTCAAATATACCATGTAAGTCTTCACCTTGGGACTCCAGCTCTTATAATTTACTGGGAAACTGCTCTAGAAACTAAAATGGCTAGTTTCTTCTTTCTGGAAACAGAAATTCAAATATTATCTGCTCAGTGAAGATTTCCCTGACAATTCAAAACTAATTCCCACCCCAGATTAGGTCAACAGACTTTGTTTTCACAGTGCTTTGCAATACCTAAGATGATCTTTGTTACTTAATTATTCACTTGTATATTTTCCACCACCAAATAAACACATATACATATACAATCATCCATACAAATAGAAGCTGATAGATCTTCACCACTACTTATGTCTCCCTGCACAGAATAATGCCTTTAACATAGAAGTCCACAAATCATTTTGACTTTACAAATGTTAAGCAATAAAAATCCCTTCCTTCCTTAAAAAAATAAGAATTGACCTCTAATTATTTTAAGTATTACTAGATGCTGAAGTTATATAATGACAACAAAGACAGATTCATAGAACTGACATTCTTCATTCTTTTCTCAAATACTTGCTGGGTGGAACCTACTGATTCAGGAACTTAATTAGGTTCTGGAAATTTAAAGTTGAGTAAGAGAAGTTCACAGGCAAATGGAGAAGAAAACATGTGATTAAAGTAACACACAAATATGTGTATAGCTCAGGGGAACACTGAGGAGAGCTCATTTATTTGAGTAGGGTGGAGGAATGGCAGAGAGGATGTGGTCAGGACCAGGATTCACAATAAATCTGACTCAGAATTATTTGGAAGTCAGAGGCAGATGAGTGACAACCAGCATTCCAAGAATAAGGATGAAAGGAGACAAATAAAAACTAAGGAATATTTTGAGAAATGAGAGCAATGGTTAGATTCAAATGCAGAGACAGGGCTTCAGATAAAGAGTGTATAGGCTAAGCTAAGGATATATATAGTATTTGGGGTCCATTTAGATCCCTGGATGCACTGGCTTATAGTTTTTATCAAATTTATAAATTATACAACTATCACTTCTTAAAAAAAAACAAAAAAAAAAACTTTAATTCCCTCAATTCACCCTTCTCCCAAGGTGCATAAAGTTGTCCCACAACTTACTAATGCTTTCTCTAATATTTTTTCATGTCTTTCCCCCTGCCCCCTCAGTTTAATTTCTGTTCCTTTCTAATGCTGCTTTAAAGTCTTTTTTTTTTCTTCCTCAATTGCTCACCTGCTTTGATACCATGTGGTATATTTTACTTCTTATTTTGCTTTACACATATAAAAATAAATGATGAAATATATATAGATTTTTTCTTAACATACTCTATCTTTCCTCTACCTTCCTGAAAATAAGAGATAACTTATTTAATAGCCTCATCTATCAATTATATCATTTCTAGATCTGCTTATATGATTAATATATTTCCAGATTTAGGGTAAATTATTTTCCATTTCTTTGAATAAAATAGATTATAAATTTTGCTTATTGGACACTGAATATTTTCCTATTTCTATGATTTTTTTTCTGTCTCTGAATGCTGATAAATTACTTGGAAACAGGAAACAGTTTGATAGATAGGGAGATAGAAAGGTATATATAGAGTGTCTCCCAAAAATGTATACATACTTTAAGTAATTGTAAAAGTAATATTTATTAAAATACATTTAATTTTTAAAATTGAACCATTAAAGTGTGTATACTCTGGACTTTGGTTAATAATGATGTGTCAATGTTGATTTCTTTAATTTTAACAAGTGTATCCATCTGGTGGGGGATGGTGGTGGTGGAGAGGAGATGAGGGTATATTTAGGACCCTTCTGTATTTCCCACTCAAATTTGCTATAAATTTAAAAGTACTCTAAAAATAAAGTCTATTCAAGTTAAAGAAGAAAAACTATGACAGAAACTACTAAAGACAAAACTAAAAATACTTTGCCGGGACCGGTTTGGCTCAATGGATAGAGCGTCGGCTTGGAGACTGAAGGGTTCCGGGTTCGATTCCGGTCAAGGGCATGTACCTTGGTTGCGGGCATATCCCCAATAGGGGGTGTGCAAGAGGCAGCTGATTGATGACTCTCTCTCATCCATGTTTCTAACTCTCTATCTCTCTCCCTTCCTCTCTGTACAAAATCAATAAAACATATTAAAAAAAAAAAAGAGTACACCCTCTTTAAAAAACAACAACAAACAAATAAAACCTAAAAATACTTAGAAGATCCTATTCATCCTCAATAAGGCTACTGAGTGTATTTCAGGGCTGTTTCCCTAGGAGTGGAGGATATTTTCCTTCAAAACTATTATTAAAAGCATAATTCTTTATAAGTACATGACACAGCACTTCACAGTATGCATAGAGATTTTATACACATTATACGTGTTCATTATTAAGGATTAGCAAGTATGATTTAACCTAAAATTGTTCAAATGCCAAACCAAAGACATTTGTCTATCTCCAAACCTATTTCCTTCCAAGGTCTCAACATCCCTTATACAGATGTACCAAGAGCACAGAGTGATTTCTAGTACAGATAGTGTTGATGGTGAGGACAACGGTTGCCAAGGTCCCCGTTGAGGAGGTGACATGTGAGCTAGAGGAGCAAAAAAGAAATGCTTATTCCCTTTTGCCACCTTTTTGCTCATTAGACTGATAGTCTACACATTGTTATTAAACAGAGCTTCCCCCTTAGTGTGTTTTTGCAGTACCAAACTTCTCCTCTTACGCAGCAGTATACAAGTGTCCTCCAAACTAGGACAGCTTATGAGAAAGTACAAGCAAAGCTCTTCCCAGATTCTAGGATTTGGGGAACAAAATGTTTGGTGTTTTTAGAGAGGTGGGAATGCAATCTTATGCAGTGACACATTCATGAGATTCTGCCAGTTTCACTTATATAAAAGAGTATAAATGTTTTCAGTAAGTTCCAGAAATGAACCTATAATTAGTTATGACGCCTGTAGGAAGAGTTCAGTTCCTATTGAAATGGTGAGTAAGAAAGTATTTTATGGCATCTGTTTAAGTCTATAAAACTGTTTTTGAAAGCCTTGTACATCTAATAAAATTACCACAACAATGAGTTTGGTTTTATTGGGTGAGCAGTCTCACGCACCATGAGAACTTGAGAACTGTAATTATTAAGTCCAACTATTCACATGAAAAGTAACATAGTTCATGTTAAGTGCCATTGTTGCTTTGACCTGAGGTCCCCTCTCTCACCTGCTTCCCTTTCTCAGCAAGTGATCTTACATACTTTTTACTTATATACTTTTTAATACCGTATTAACTATAGTCACCATGCTATATAGCTATATAATAGATTTACAAAATATATTCATCTTATTATCCTATATAATAAAAAACTAATATGCTAATTAGACTGAAGAGCAGAACAACCATCCAGACGACCTTCTGGATGAAGCCAGGGCTGTGAGGGGCTGTTAAGGCCAGCTGGAGCTGAGAGGGCCGGCCAATGCTGCAAGGGCCGGCTGAGGCATTCAGAGCATTGAGGGCTGGGCTCCTTGCAGGAATGTCGTCATTGGGCCCCTAGTAATCTTATAATTGAAGTTTGTACCCTTTGACCAACATCCTCTCATCTTTTCCTCCCATTTCCCACCTCCAGCACCTGGCAAGGGACATTCTTCTCTTGGTTCTATGAGTCCAACGTTTTACATTCCATATGTAAGTGAGATCGTATAAGTGCCTTTTTGTGGCTGGCTACCTACAATATTTAGCTTTATGTCCTTCATGTTCAGTCGTGTTGGCAAAATTACTCAGATGTCCTTTTTTATGGCTGAATAATATTCAATTGTATATATTCTTAACGTAATTAAACAAGGGGCCATTGGACTGAGGCAACTCTATTGCCTTCGTAGCCTGTGTAGTAAGCAAACTTAAACTAAGCCAGAGTCAATGCAAACAAATCTGAGAAAATAAAACCTAAGAAAACTAATCATGAGCAGCCAACCATGCTTTCCCAAATAAGGCAACCAAATAGACAATAAAATAATCTTTTGGTCCCCCTCCCATGTCTTCTTTATAAAAAAGCCTTTCCCCTAACTTCTATTGCACTCCTAACTACTTTCAGTTCACAGCTGGATGTTTGAACAGATGTTCACCCAAATAAACTCTTGTCAATTTTAATATGCCTCAGTTTGTCTTTTAACAGTATATATCAAAATGTCTTTATTCATCTGTCAATGAACAAGTACATTGTTTCCATATCTTGGCAATTGTGAATAATGTGGCAATGAACATGGGAGTGCATATATCTTTCTGAGATCCAGTTTTATTTCTTTGAGAACATATCCAGAAGTGGGATTGCTGTACAATATGTTATTTCTATTTTTAACTTTTTGGAGAATTTACATACTATATTCCATTATGACTATCCTAATTTATAATCCCACACAGTGTACAAGGGTTCCCTCTACTCCACATTAAAAAAAAAACCTCACACAAAATGTTTTTCATTGATTTCAGAGAGGAAGGGAGAAATAGAAACATCAATGACAAGAGAGAATCATTGATCAGCTGCCTCCTACATACCCTACACAAGCAATTGAGCCCAAAACCAGGGCATGTGCCCTGACTAGGAATTGAACCATGATTTCCTGGTTCATAGGTTGATGCCCAACCACTGAGCCATTCCAACTGTTTCATGGACAGTTTAACAATATTAATTCTTCTAACTCATAAACAGAGGATATTTTTATATTTATTTGTATTTTCAATTTTTTTCAACAAGGTCTTAACAGAGACAAAGAAGATAATTATATAATGATAAAGAGTTCAATCTATAAAAAGGATACCTATTGTAAATATACAGGGTGGAGTAAAAGTAGGGTTATAGTTAGAAAATATATAATATATAATGTAGAAAATATATAATGTAGAAAATAATATAATAATAAATAAAATACAAGAACAAACCTTATGGTTTGCATACTCACAACTATAAATGTACTTTGGATTCTCCTTGGATGTGCACCTAACATTGGATCATTTGAATATATAAAGCAAATATTAATAAAATTTTAGATGGAAATAGACCACATACAATAAGAATTGGGGACTCGGTGTCCCACTTTCAACAATAGATTAGACAGAAATTTAATAAGAAAACATTGGATTTGAACTATATTTTTGGTCAGATGTACCTAATAGATAGACCAGGTGGAATAGAACATTTCATCCAACAACATAAAACACACATCCTTGTCAAGTGCACACAGAACATTCTTCAGAGTAGATCATCTGGTAGGCCACAAAACAAGTTAACAAATTCAAGAAAATTAAAATCACTCCAAGAATCTTTTCAAATCACAATAATATAGAACTCAAAATCAATACCAGGAGGAAAACTGGTAAACACATTTCCAAATAGGTGGAAATTAAACAACACATTCCCAAAACACCAGTGGGCCAAAGGAGAAAATCAAACGAAAAATAAAAAACCCCAATTTGGAACAAATGAAAATGGAAACACAACGTATCAGAACTTAAGAATTGTACTCTATTATATGCATTACTTTAATATACAACATCTTATCAAATCTGAAGGGGAACTGTAGTGAACTAAGTGGGCAATACAATGATAGCCTTCTCTTTTTAGGTTAGTTCTAAATCTTGTCAAACTAAAGCAGGAGAAATCTGGTCTACTTACTTTTCCTTAAGTCAAACTGCAGAACTGAAATCAACCAAAATTGTGTAAAGTCACAGATAGCAGTTCTGGAAAAGACAAGAAGAAAGTGAGAGAAAGACAGAGAACACTTCAATTAACTCAGAGTTAGTAGCCCCTTTGAACCAGATTACTCAGGCTAACACTGTAACCCCTCACAAAATTAACATAATTGTTCACATGTTAAGAATTATGATATGTATTATACATGTCACCTGCTTTATATATTTGCCTAAATAGTGTTGACCTATGAATCCTTCTATTTCTGATGTATCTAAGTTTATAGGCCTAATCCCTCTAACTCAACACTTACATCCAAGCTATTCAAATTACTATGATTATGTGATAGGAAGTTTAGGAATTTGGAATTGGCGTAATGCTCTTGAGTAAATCCAGATTCTGCAACTCACTGGCTGTAAGATCATGGACAAATAATTTATATCTCTCTACCTCAGGCTCCTCTTTTTTATAAAATGTGGCTACAACTTCACAGCCATTACTAAATTTAAATGTGATAATGTTTGTGTGCTTATCACAGGAAACATGGGAGGTACTCAGTAAATTGGCTAAATGTATTAGTGGTGGCTTATTTCAGTCTTTGTCTTAGTTTCTACTTTCTCTGGCTCCCCTCTCCTCCCCCCCCGCCCCTGTCTTTCCCAGCCCCACTCCCCTCCCTCCCGTTGCTCCTCTTTTCATTTGGGAGTGTGTTTGTGTGGTATATATGTTTGTGTATTCCACTTCAAGAAATCTTCACATTGACACAGAGAAGCCCCCAGACAAGGATTTCACAATAATGAGGAACAAAAACAGGATTATGAAAATTTGCTCCTCCTGGAAGAGTCTCTGTTTTATTTTAAAGCATTAAAAAAACATTTTAATAAATAATCTTAAACATCCAGCAGTGCTAAAATTACTTTATAGTAAACCCCTATAAACCCACCACTTAGATTTTCCATTGGTTTTTAGAGAAAGTGGGAGGGAGAAAGAATAGGGGATGGGAAGAAAGAAGAGGAAAGAAAGATCAATATGAGAGACTCATCAATTGGTTGCCTCTTGCAAGCACCCCAACTGGGGTTGGGAATGAACCTGCAACCCAGGTATGTACCCTTGACTGGAAATCAAACCTGTGATGCTCTGACCACTGAACACCCTAGCTAGGACTACTATACATGTTTTTTTTTTTTAATGTATCTACCTATCTATTCATTAATCCATCTTTGATGCAATTTAAAGTAAATTGCAGACATCAGAGCCCTTCTCTCTAAAACCTTTGCCATGTATGTCATATTAAAGACTATATTTTATGTTTCCATTCTTTATTTTTGATATAAAGTTTGCAAACTATGATATACATAAATCTTATGTGTGTTTTCACTGAGGTTTGGAAAGATGTGTACATCTCTGAATCAAAACTTCTGGAGTTTGACTTGATTTTTTATATTGACTTGCTTCTTCTTTCTAAGAGATACTAGATTTCTGATCTTCTGTGGTTTATTGTTTATGTGCTTCCCTTTCATTCCCAGAGAATAGCTCAGACCTACACAGTATTTTGATCACTTACTCAGTTAAGGCACCTGAAATCAGCCATGAAGTAAATGGCAGAGTCTTACGATGTGGGTGAGAGATTTGTATGAGGGAGAAAGGATAGGCAGAGTGGCAGAAGGTAGCACAGAGGCATTGCAGGCAGCCTTGGCAAAGTGGTGGAAATGTACCTTGTGTGGACAGCCAACAGGGACCTGGCCTTCCTGGAGTAGCCGGTTCCAGCAAGAGAGAGGAGGAGGAGGCCATGTGGAAAGGCAATGCTTTTAGTAAAGATGTGCAATGATTCACTTCTCTAACTACATACATTTACATTAGCAATACCTAAATTACTTCAGGGGGAGAAACTACAAAGGAGAAAAGGCTCAATTTCCCTAGGAAGCAGGAAATTTAGTAAACAGTAACCCCCTCTATCCATAGCTTTGCTTTCTGTAGTGTCAGTTACTGTGGTCCAAAAATATTACGTGAAAAATCCCAGAAATAAAAGAGTACCTAAGTTTTAAATATCTCACTATTCTGGTAGGTTTAGTGTGGTTTGATCTCATGCTGTCCTGCTTCCTCCGACCCAGTAGGAGACTGAGTGAGTTATTGAAAGGGCTGTGTTGTGACCTTGGTTCTTCTACTATGTCCTGTGTTTTTCTTTGGTCGTAACTAATTAAACTCTCTCTGGGCCTTAAGATTCCTTATATTTCATCTAATTCTCTCATTCCATGATTAAGATCAATGAGCTGCTTTCTTTAAATGTGCACACTGTTACAGACTTTCCCTGTGCTCATTATTGATTTGATGTTTTTCATTTATTTATTTTGTTATTTTGTTAATCCTCACCCGGGGATATTTTTCCATTGATTTTAGAGAAAGTGGAAGAGAGAGGGAAAGTCAGAGAAATATAGATGTGAGAAAAACATATCAATTGGTTGCCTCCTGCACATGCCCTCACGAGGGCCAGGATGGGGAGAAGCCTGCAAATGAGGTATGCGTCCTTGACCTGAATCGAATTTAGGACCCTTCGGCCCCAGGCCAACTCTCTATCCACGGAGACAAACTGGCTAGAACTGGATGGTCGTTGTTTATTGATTATTTATTTACTTCTTGCTATCTGCTGGACTCTATGATATTGCTTGGAAAACTAATAAGTGTTCACATAGTATATAGTCCAAAACCACCAATTCATACAGATGTAAAACAATAGTCCAGAGAGGATAAGTGTTTTATTTTTACATAAAATACTTTCCCCAAAATTGGAGAGAACCAATATTACCTCACCTCAGCCTTCTAGAATAGATTTTATAAAAGAAAATTCTTCATTATTCACATGAAAATTCCAAGAATGAATGAGGGGAAGGGATTTTCCCAAGATGCACAATGACTGCATGGTTGATTTAGATTAGAAAAACAGGTGATCCACATTTATGTCAGGCTAATTATTCCATACTGCATCTACATGTTTTCTTGATCTCATAGTAAAAACACAGGCCAGGCTTCTGCAGAATTTATTTTATTGTTAAGCAAATGAAGGAAAATATTATATATTGAACTCTCCAAGAACCAGGGAGAGAAGAAGGTGTGTTTTTATAAATTTAAGCTATCTGCTGGAGAAAAATCAAAGCATACACAAGAAAAGAAGGCTGAGAAAGCTGGCAGCTGAACACAAAACATTGGCTCCAATTCAGCATGCTCCAACGTGCTTTAGTTTGAGCTTCCCACCATTTTCCCTATCAAAGAGAAAGACAAGATATGCTCAGTGCAATATAATTAGTATTCATTGCAGACATTGGACAAGGCTTAACTATGTCATCATCTATGTAATTATTTGATTCTACAAGGTATCCATGTTGACAATGTGGCAGAAGTTAAATTCACTTAGCAGTGACATCTGTCCTAATTACAGAAAGCATGAATCTTAAATTTAATAAGGCTTAGATCTTTTGATTTCCATTGTTTCTTCTCTGGGAGTAAATATTTGTACAACTGGAAAAGGTAAAAATGACAAGAGAAATAATGGCAAAGAAACTAGTGTCATAGCTGTGTCCTAATAGAAAATGGAAGAAGTTAAACCAAATATTCAGGCATTTGGCCTTTTATAGTAAACCATGTATTTAGTCCTTCTCAGTAATGAGTGTCCATCATATGTAATCTCAACTTACCCTACTGCCCTTATCCTGGAAAAAATTTGGTATTAATTAGCAGGTATTCTATATAATAAAAGCCTAATATGCTAAGTGTCCTACCATCTATTCAACCATTCTTTCAATCAGTCACATTTTGATGTGCACTGATTACCAGGGGGCAGATGCTCCAACTGGTAGGTTAGCTTGCTGCTGGGGTCCAGCTGATTGAGACTGGGCAAGACGAGCAGGACATGCCATGGAACCTCCCATGGTTCCTCCCCACCCAATGGTGCACTGGCGGGGTCCTTCAGTTTGGCCTGCATCCTCTTGCAATGTGGGACCCTTTGGAGGATGTCGAAGAGCCAGTTTCATCCTGATTCCCTCAGGACAGGCCAAGGGACCCCACCAGTGCATGAATCCATGCACCAGGCCTCTAGTGTTATATGTAAATGTAGAAATGTTTATTAGGCATTGATTCAATATTTATTCATCTTATTCTGTGTGCTTGGCTTTGCAGTTATTGATAGGGAGCTATATAATCTCCATGTTTAGGAGTCTTACAGCAAAATTGAGGAAAATTAAGACATTGATAGAAGACAATCTAATACAAGAAAAGAATGACAATGGTGAAGAAGTGAGGTTACTTTTAAATAGGGCTATAATTCCTTGATTTTAGAGCAATCAGACTAAGAGATTGATTGAGTTAATAAGTTTTTATTAATTATAAAATATGTCACATCAGGAAGTTCACAATCTATTTGTTAAATCTATAGTACCTGTTCTATTTCGTTAAACACATACATTCAATAAATATTGATCTTTGATAGAATCTTCCTAGTATGCTATCTGTAAAATTTGAATAGTCTGGATAGTAAAGGATGGTCCTCTCCTCTATTCTTTGTTGAAAGGCCCTTTTCATCAGAGGAAAAGAGAGGAGTGAATGGAAATTGTTGCCTTAGCAATATAGAAATTGCTATAAAATAAAATGCTTGAAAATAATGTGGGTAAAGTAATACTTTTATTGTTAATAATAAAATTTCCCACAAGTTTTTCATGTTTCTAATTTTGATGAATTTTCAAGCATAACTATATTGCTAAAATTTATTATTTTTGAAATTAATAATAACAAAGCATAAAGGATACAACTATTAAAAATCTTAGAAATAAATGGGAAAAAATAAAATGTATCAAAATATTTAAAGATGTATACTTTTTAAAAGTCCCTAAGATTGATCACATTTAATAATTACAATAAAGATTATGCTTTCATATAATTTATTATGCAAATTGTTATTCCTTTTTGAATGAATTGTTTTTAATCCATTTGCCTGAAGCTTATTTCTGTTATTTCTATGGGTGGGTGTGAATAGAAATTTCTAGACTATTTCCAGGGAAGTGTCATTGTCTTATTCAGGAAGTTTGTGCTTGTAAGGGACAGGTTTCTGAGTATGATACTTACGCCATTGCCTTACAGAAGGCACATTTATTGCCATATGTCTGGCCATTAGAGCCACAGTAGGGATCTGATTCCCGAGTGCAGTAGAACTTGGGATCCCGGAACTCAGCACAGTCAACCTACCAAAGTAAGCATAGCAGTGACATGGACATTAGTGCATTCTGTCTAAGGGACTGTTCCACACGATAGAAGCTTTAGAGAGCAAACTTGAGAGAGAGAGAGAGAGAGAGAGAGAGAGAGAGAGAGAGAGAGAGAGAGAGAGCGAGCGCGTAGCAGCATGTCCTGGAAAATGTATATACACTTTAACAGCTAATAGCTCAATTTTGAAGTTGAAATAAAGTTTAATAAACACTGCCTTTATAATTATTCAAAGTATATATACTTTTTTGTATACACATACTCTATATGAGTATAAATATTTATATGTTATATACAAATATATAAATATTTATTTATATAAAGTCATATTAATATATAAATACTTTATATATTTATATGAAAGTATACGTATATAAATATGTTTATAAATTATATATATATATCTGTAATGTAAAGCTTCCTGAAATAGAAAATGACCTTCTTTGTCTGTTTAGCTAGAATGTATTAAACATAACTGAGACTTTTTCTTTGAGATACAGGATACCCATTTCTGTAGTCACAGTATTCAGAAGTGAGTTGATTGAGTTAATGAACTGAGGCAATTACTCCCTACAAATGTAAGAAGTAAGGCAAATGCCATAGGTATGACTTTCTGTCCCAACACTAAATTTTCAATTGAGAGTGGTTTTTTATCTTTAGTGACACTTTTTTTTTCTTTCTTTTCTTTCTTTCTTTCTTTCTTTTTTTTTTTTTTTACTGTATTAACCTAACTCTAATAGCACTCCTGTTTTGTTATAAAGATATGGATGATCATTGCAAGGAGATTCCAAATGTTATGTGATGGCTTGTTAGTTTTCCTTGTGGCTGCTACATTCATTTATTCTCTTGAAAACAACATTTTAATGTCTTCATATTAACTTACTTTCTCTCTGTAATATTTGAACTTTTGTGACTAAGTTGCTCTATTTAGGATTCTGAGGTTGAATCCAGCCTTGGTGAGAACACGTGCCATGACAATTAATGATTATTGTCATGGGCTCTGTAGAAGGAATGGTAGGAGCACCTGTGCTACTAATATTTGCCCTCAGTTATAGTGGTCTCTCAAAAATAGCCTGGAGTTTTAAAATTCTTTTCAATTGAATCAATATTTTATATGCAAATGACATTTGAGCCCTTTTATTCCAAGTTATAGGCAATACACAACAGGTAGAACCAAACTTTTCCAAATATCAACTGTGTGGAATGAAGTGCCCTTTAACATGAATGGAGGGACCATACTTTACCCCTCTCCTAGTCCCATTAATAATGTCTTATGTTTATCTATTGCTTCACAATATTTAAACCATATAAAGTAACTCCGCTGAGATAACTCTGAGATGCATGTAGAACAAATTATATTAAGCAGTTTACAAAAGTGAATATTGATCCTCCGGATAATTAAGTAGCTTCCCAATGCCATACAACCAGGAAGCGTTAAAAACCAGTGCTTGAATATATGTCTTCTCATTGCTGATTCCAACTATCTATTATGGTTGATTTCCAACATAGCCTCATTTAGAGAAATAAAGACCAAGTTCATGATGTACTCTTGACCTCACTTACAATCAGGGAAAGTAAGCTTTATTGAAATACCTTATAAATTAAGTGGGCACAAATAAGAGTAATCATGTTTTTAAGATATTAGCAAACTGTTATCTATATGTATAAAAGCCTAAGTGACCAGCTGATTGGCCAGTAGCTATGAGGCACACTGATCACCAGGGGGCAGTACTCAATGCAGGAGCTGCCAAGCTGCAGTGACTTGGGAGCTGCAGTTCTCTGGAGACACACCTGGAACCAGGGAGAAGGGAGCCTGATTCCAGGGTGTTTCACCCGAGAACTGCCCTCTCACAGCCTGGGACCCCCTTGGGGGATGTTGAAGAGCCAGTTTCAGCCTGATCCCCACAGGCCAGGCAGAGAGACCCCCCCCCCCCCGCCCAGTGCATGAATCTGTGCACCGGCCCTAGTATACTGATAATACTCTCTGAAGATTTGGATGGGGAAAAGCTCAGTAAGAGAGTCACACAGTTGAGTTACAAAATATCACACATATCAGAGTTAAGATAACAGACTATTAAACACACATTTTAAAATGAAATTTCACATTTTGTACTATTGAGGCTGGGTGGAATGATGCTTATCAGAGATCTTAGGGTTGGTTGGATAGAAGATGTTTAGGCTTATTATAGTCATACCTATAGTCTCACTTTTTCCTCACTGATCATAAAGAAAACTCCATTTTTATACTACTTTTGGGATAGTAACCTTTCCTTTAGGTCTCCAAATAAAAAGTAAGCTGAGAAATCTTTAGGACATGATTAACCATAGGAGTTTTTTTCTTTCTTTCTTTCTTTCTTTCTTTCTTTCTTTCTTTCTTTCTTTCTTTCTTTCTTTCTCTTTTCTTCTCAAAAGCTAATTTATTTTGAATTTAAGTCATGAATACACACATTTGCAACTGTGTGAGTCAAGAATAGACTGTAAACCATAGACTTATCACTGATATTTTGATTTATCCCATCAACAGCCAATGGGTAATTAATATTTGTAAGGCATGGTTCTGGGTGCTGGTGATACAAAAAATGAATGAATTATAATATCTCCATATGTTCACCATCTTATTTGCATTAGGAAAGCAGAAAGAATACCATTAATTATAGCACAATGAGTGATAGACACCACAATGGGCCAAACAGGGACAATGTGCAAGCTGAGAAAGGGCATCTCAGTCAGAGAAATGTGTGTCTCTACAGTCAGATCAGTGAGAAAGGAAACCAAAGTCTCTTACTTTAAAGAGACGCCTTCTCAAGCCATCTTTCCATCGTATTCCACCCTCTGATCTTGTGATCCAGGCTCTTCTGTCCTTTAGAAAGCAGGTATGAAAGTGGCACTTGGAGGGCATTTACTTTGAGAACTTCTAGACCCCACCTCTGTGCCCAGACCCACTTTCCCCCTTCCACGGCCCCCTGGGAATGAGAGTAGGTAGGGCTAAGAATTTCCATATCAATCAAGTGGTATATGAAAAAACTTCTTTAGAATTTAGATTTAGTTTATGCTTCTAAATTGTTCAAGGGTCCCTGATGTAGCTAAAGAACCATGTTTCAGTACTTGTCTTGTCATTTGCCATTGGCTGGGTGTCATCTCAGACAAAGTGCTCCCTAGCTGCATCTAAATTTTCTTAACTAAAATGTTCTTTTTTTAAATTTACGGTTGGCATGCTTCATTCCCATGATTGTTATAAGGATCAACTGTGCTCATATAAGAGTTGTAGAAAGTCAGCGTGGAGTATTTGAAATACTCTTGGACTAGGCATGCAAAAAATTAGGTTCATGTTGTAGACCTGCTCTAGCTGTAGGTCTTACCATTTTGGAAGGAGCTTCGAACAAGTGTTCAGTATCAGTAGCTATGAGGCACACTGATCACCAGGGGGCAGTACTCAATGCAGGAGCTGCCAAGCTGCAGTGACTTGGGAGCTGCAGTTCTCTGGAGACACACCTGGAACCAGGGAGAAGGGAGCCTGATTCCAGGGTGTTTCACCCGAGAACTGCCCTCTCACAGCCTGGTCCCTGAGGACTAGATGGTCCCTGAGGACCTTTCCTGCTTTGATAACACAAGATTTAGCAGTGTTTCATTCAATAAAGTGGCTTAAATTAAGGTAAGTCCTTAATTCTTCAATTGGATGTGAGAAATCACTACTGCCTGAATGATTCTTTTATATCTAGTGGCCTTTCTTCACTCACACCGTGTGAGAAATTTTAGCATGGTGATGGGACAGGAAAAGGCCACTCTCCGAGAGCCCTGGACGTTTGAGAAGGTAAAGAATGACTTTCAGAGTCAGCCAGAAATCCTTTCTGTGAGGCAAACAACGAGGCAGAAGAACATCAGAATATCTAATAGGACTAGAAAGAGCTCACAGTTCTCAACTTAGGGAGAAGCAGGCTAAGAATGGCATGCCTTTGCTCTGTCTAAATTTCCTGTCCTCTTTTATATTTTTATTTTAGTCTTTAAATAGAATGCAGATAATTAGTTTCTTAGTGGACATAAAAAAGCAGGCCTAGAGCAGGGGTGATAGGATTATCTTTCCTCCTTAAAGTTTCCTCCAAGAGGACAGCCAAAATCCTCTGAATTTATTTGAAATACCCAATGCTCTATAATGTTAAGAGACTGTGCTGCAGAAGGTATTAGACTGACCTGGGTTTGAATTTTGCTTCTTCCTCTTGCTACCTGCATTACCTCGTGCATATAGTTGACTACTCTGAGCTGAAATGTCTTTATATTTAATTGGAGCCCAGCAATATCTGTCTTCTAGGTTTCTTGTAAATGATTAGTCCTTTGAAAAACACTTTATAAAGCTTCAAGCACCCTGTGGAGGATTGATATTATGAGCACTAACAATGTACATTGTTTCACATTCTAGAAGTTTTGGAGCCCATTATTTCTTACCCTACTTAATGAGAAATTTTATTTTGTTTTGGTGTTTTTTAGGTTGGTGTTGGCTTTAACAAGAGCCTACTTGTTAAAGCCAACAAGTAGGCTTATTTTCTTAGTTCAGCTTCCTTAGACTACTTCTATGTACTTGTGTGCCAAAGTTTAGTACAGGCCTGACCCCTTGTGGCTCTTCAAAGAATTGTACCTTCAAAAATATTCTGAAATACAGGGACACTTTTAGTACCCAGATTAGTATTCTAATGGAAACTACAAAATCATTTAACTTTACTGGAAAGTGAGCTTATATGATCACAAAAATTAACTTATAAGTCAGGGTCATTGATATTTTAGTCTAGCATTTCAGTTTTAAAAATAAAGCCAATGAAAATTTGCAAACACACATATATCTCTAGGGTGTAGGACTTCATCTGTTCTTCCCTTTACTACTACCCATGTGGTTACATCAGCTCCTTTTTAATCACACCAGTTTTCTAAACCCCTCCATGACTTGGCCTCTACTTCTCCTGCTTTTATACTCCATCCACACTACCAAAATGGCTCTACAAAATGATTCAGAATATATCCATTGGCTATTTGTAAAATGTTCATGATTTTTTGTGATGCAACTCCTTTTTGAAACACCTTATTTCTGTAAATTAAATATGTCAATACTCTGACTCTCCAACTATTTCTTCTCTCTTCTTTTTATCACTTTTTATTTTACTCTTGACTATTCACTATGTTTATTTTCAAGAAAATTTTATATACTTGATTTTGCCTCTCTAAGAGCCTATATATTCCCAGATGATACTGATGAATCTTAGCCATTATTTTTTTCTTGAATCTTCATCAAAATTTCAAACTCTAATTCCTGTTATTAGAAACATACAGGACAAACTTTAGATAATAATTTAATTCACAATTAATACTCATTTATATATTGTGAAGGATTCTAAAATTCTCCTTTTATAAGTCTATAAATTAGACTATTAACTATAATCTACCATCTGATGCTTCAGCATGGAGAGGCTTCTTGGCATGAGTGGACTGAGTTAAATGTTGGAGGAAATATTTCTTCCTTTTGTCTTAGCAGAATTAGAATTGAGCAGGCATGCTCCTAAGATTAGTTTCAACTTTTCCTGCCTGTTGTTTGGATAGCCACCATCTTTCCAGCTGAACAGAAGAGAAATGGAAGCCTTGATGCTATCTGAAAGGTGGCACCCTCCCTTCCCTGACTACTTGAGTGGAAAAAAAAAACAGCGGTCTTGGCAAGGCAGGCTTGGTTCCTACTGATTCAGATAGCTAAGGTCAGATGGGGCTTTAGAGATCATTGAATCTAAATTTTTATTTTGGAGATGTGTAAACAAAGGCAGTGGCAAGAGAGGAGACATCTCTTAGATCACACAGGCAGTAAATATTCAAATTAGAACTCATGTATACAGTCTCTAAGATGTTTGAGCAAAAACAGCCCTCCCCAGCACTGGATAATTATGTAGAATACAGATTTAAAATTTCCCCATCTGTGATGATTATTTAGTAAGTCTGGCATGGTGCTGGGGATCTGTATATTTAGGAGACATTTCCATGAAGGTAGGGGAGGGGAGGGATGAGGGGGAGAGATCAACCAACGGACTTGTGTGCATGCATATGAGCCTAACCAGTGGTCACAGACAAAAGAGGGGTGGAGATATGCATGGGGAGGGGTTTAGGATGGGAATGGGGGAATGAGGACAAATATGTGATACTTTAATCAATAAAGAAATTTTAAAAAAGAAAACATTTCCAGTGATCCAAAAGCAAGTCCACAAAGAGACTTAGACCAATCCAAAGGAATAGAATCAGTAAATAGTAGATTTTAAGTGAACTTTAAAAAACACTGAAAATCTGGGAAACATAAAATATCCTGAAGATCAAAACCTAAATAAGGGAAGAGACTTGAGTGTTGATGAGAAAACGGATAAAATTTCATATATTTTCAATCTATGTAATGCTTTTATATTTTATTACCTCGTAAGATACAAAATGGGTTGGTTGTATTGTGCAATTGTGTATGTTTAAAACAATAAGAAATCAATTTTAAGATATACAATTTTATATGCAAGTAAAAAAAGTGTATGTATGTGTCACACACACAAGTGCACACATACATACATTAAGAGTTAACAGTATGGCATCATCTATTGAAAGATACATTTCAATTTCTGAGAGTTTAAAATTGGAAGGAAAAAGTCTTATGCAATATACTAGAGTTGGAAGAGGTTTTCAACTCTTTTGCCAACTTGAACTAGTTGGCAGTATTATCTGGAAACTTTTAATGTCAAGAGTTCTTGGGCATACAAAGGCTAACAAAAATAAGTGCCAAGGTCAAGTAGAAATGTTCTTTTGTATGGACACAGGAGTAGCACTAGCTGGAGCAAATGCCACCTGTTTCTATTTTTTGATGCTTAGAACAAGCAATCTGAGGAAAAGTTGATGGATTAATTTGGAAAAAATAGCAGCCAGACAATGAAGATAATTTGTCCCCATTCCAAATTTTAACCCAAATTGTACTTACATTTAAGTGAACCAGTCTATGTATACTCAATAAAGAACAGTAAACAAACTTGGTAATAAGCAACCTTTTTTTCTCACTCTTGGAGGCCTTATTTCTACAAAGGAAAGAATAACCTCTGACCTAAATCCTTCAGAAGCTGTTAATTATTAATCAACAACTAATCCTTTTATAGTTAACCAAATACTTCCACATAGTTTATATAATTTCAGCCTGACTACAATTCTTTGAAGTGAATAAGATTGTTTTCTTTTTTTATAGTTGTGGAAATTGCAGCTCAGAAAACCTGAGTTACTTGCCCAAGATCTCACAGTGAAAGCGGAGATAGATTATGAGTGTTATCATAGACTCATCCCATTTTCATTTATAGTTTCTTTCCTTTAACAAAAACTGAGAATGGGTATTTAGGCTCCTTTATCTCATAGAGAAATTGTAGTTAAAATGTTTATTATTTCTATTGATTTCTGCATTTGGCCTGCTGGTTCAATGTTTTGCCCTTTAGCCCACAGACAAAGGCTGGGCTGGGAATACCAACCAAGCACCACCCAGGTCTGAAGAATAGATAAAAATATTCACTGACCTTTTTTCCTTGACTGAAGACACCTGAAAAACAAATCACAGTCTTAGCACTATAATTTCTGAATGTATAAAAAGTGGGATTTGCAAAATTGGGAGTTCCTCAAAGCTGGAATGATACTTATTCTTGATTCTTGGTCATCTCAACAAGGCATGGCATGTTTGATTTTTTTTATACCTGTTCACTTCTCAGGGAGAATAGACACTTGGGAAGTGATGAAAGGGGATGGACAAGGTTGAGATCAGATTTCTTAGAGGTTGGGGAGGGGAAGTGAAAGAAAATTGTTTCATAATCTGGAGATTCATGTTAGAGTTCTGGCCCAGTTACTAATCCATTGTGGAAATGACCTCATCTCTGGTCTTCAGAGAATTTGGGTTGGAAAGTCTCCTGAAACTTTGACATTTCCAGGTTCATTGCATTGCCTATAGGCAATTCAGGAAGAGATTAACTTTATTTGTTCTTTGAGGTCAAAATTGCTTTTCTGTCCTCTATACTCAGATTTAAAGCCTTGGCCCAAATATAGACTGACAAGGACAAACTCTTTTATTTTGCTACGTCTCTCTAAATTACTGAAAGAGGAAACAATCTATAAATAAGTCTTGTTTCTCTCTCTCCCTCCATCTTTATAGCCATGTCTGTGATTTTGGATTGTGGTTGATTAGCTCAATGGTTTTAAATACTGAAATAATAAAAATGTTAGGTTCAATTCTGCTCTGAGCTGAATTCTGGTCATTTCTGGGGAACTTCTAATGCCAGTGACACCTGGCACATTTAGCCAAAAGCCTCCTTAATGACAGAAAGTATAAGTGTCATACTTGAAGGAGGACAACTGGAAATATCTTTAAGTATGGTCTCTATTAATGGAAATGAGGCAAGAACAGGGCTTTTAATCTTAAAATAAAGTTGATGACAATCTACTATAGTGAGTACCAACCATATTGCAGCAGTGTTATTAAAAAATACAGATTTTTTAGGACACTTTAAAATTTCATTATATAAGATCAAATAGGGCCTAGAAGTTTATATTTTTGTAACCACTGAAAGTAAGTTTTATGGCCCAGGAAAACTCATTATTACAATTCTCAGCCATTTCTTCACTGTACAAATCTTTGATCAGAAGAGGAAAGATTGTGCCCACTGTCTTCTTATATGTAGAATTACCAAGGCAGAAGGATGGTTAACATCAGCAATACCTGAATTCAATACAGTGGTTGTATTATTGAAATTTACTAATGTTAATATAATGGACATTTGTTAAACTCTTACTAGATCCCATCCACTATGTAAAGCACTGTTCATGCATTTTCTCATTTAATTCCACACACAGGGATATTCCTTTTATAGCTGTATTTTATAGATGAATAAAATATTCAGAAAGGTCACACACTATAAAATGGAAATGCTAGGACTGAAACTCAACATTAAGGCTCTTAGGCATTGGCCTTCCCAAATACAGATTTATCCATGAAGGACCATGTTTTGGTAAATGCCTTGTTGCACAATATCCAATGAAAAGATCATAAAGAGAAGCAATGGAATATAACTTAATTTTTGAGAGCATCTTAGCCAGCAACTTTTTATATAGTCACATTTATTTTTTGTCATCTCAGCAGGTGACAGAAACATCATTTCAGGTTAGTTAGCCTTATTAGTCAAGCTTATTCTATGAGATCACAGTAATCCTTTATCCGACTTTTTTTTTCTTTCATATTCCTAAAAATATTTTTTCATTTAAATATAACCAGTTTCCAGTGAATAATGACTTCTTTATCTATTCAATCTCAGTGAAAAACCTCTGATAGCCCCCCAATTCAATGACTTTTGTCACAGAAAATGATAGATTAAATATGTAAGGTCCCAGGATCCAGTCTCATATCTAGAATTCTATAAATGAGAGCATATCTCAGAGAGCTGAGCTGTCTCCAGTTGAGACAGTCATAAATGGAAGACATGGGTCTAGGTCTTGGGTCTAGAGTCTCTATTGTGTTCTTTGTCTACTATTACATCATTGGGTGGAAAAATAAAGAAGTTAGGAAAGAGATACAGTGTTCTGTTCATTCACATGGCCCTATACTGAAAAACATTAGATCCAAGTATAGCTGCCCTTTGAACAATCCAAGTTGATAGAGAATATATGACTACTGCTCATTAAGGTGTCCAAAGATATTCCCCTTCTTGAACAATTATTGAGTTTTCCAACAACATATATGTTTCAGTATTCTGAGATTGGATACCTTTTCCTGAAGGATTTTTCTAATTAAGTTTCCTTTTCCCTCTTGTTGTAATTTTAATTGAGTTCCAATTACTGTATAAAAATAATGAGTACATAGAAGCTTTCCTTTGTCTTAGAAGAAAATATTTAAATATCTAAATAAATATTTAAAACAACTAGCCATCCCCCCAGACCTAGTTTTGTGGAACAAGCATAAACTGTGATACATAGAAGACCTGATCAAATTCCAAATTCTACTTATGAGTTACAAGTCCTTAGGCAATTTTCTTATTTTTCTTTTTTTTTTTGTGCCACAGATTTCTTATATATGGAAGATAGATAAGAATAGCTTGCTATGTGTATTGGAGATAATGCATAAAAGCTCTTAGTACATGCCTAGAATATAGTATATACTCAACAAATGAAAGTTATTTTTATCATTATTACTATTACCATTTTCATCATTATAATCATTATCATCATTATGATAATCTCATAGAATTGGTCTTTTATATCAAAATTGTTAGAATTTAAAATGTGGTGGACAGATATATTTGTCATGTCCATTCAGCATAAGTATTGGATTTTAATTTTAAAGAAAAAACTCACCTGAGAAAAAGCAGAAAAGAGCCAGAGAGAGGAGCAGAAAGACACCTGATATTTTCATGGTGCCAGTTAGCTCACTCAGATGCAGGCTGCTTTGTCCAACTCAAGTTCTCTGTCAAGACACTTCCCAGAACACTAAAACACACACACTTAGACATATATATAGAGACATGAGAAGGAGTTGGGATCTCCACCTTCTTTATAAAGTCACCTTCTAAAACCATAAGCAATCCTGTACATTTAGACATTTTTTATGGCCCGTACCCAATGTAAAGGATATTGTTTCCATCAATCTTAAAATTAGAATAATTATGTGAGTCGTACCTTACATCTTATTAATACAGGATGTCATTTTCCACAGGTAAACTAGGTTTCCTTAGCAACCAGTACATTCTCCCTGCTCTTCCCTCTATAGTTTCACTACATTAAAGGGATGAGTCACTGGTGGGGCCACACTTGATGTTATGTCTCTTTTAGACAGGCCTTACATGTCTGTGGTCCAGGTGAGTAACCGCAGAGGAATGGAATCTTGGGTGTAACTAGGATTTTCCGAGTCCACATCACCCAAGATTTATGTAAAGAAGACAGGTATTCTACATTGCCACCAGAACCACACCAGTAAAAACATTTTCTAAGCAGAAATCAGTCTGTTAATTTTAAAAAACATGATTGTAGTCAAATGGCAGTGATTTTCAATTTTTAAGTCAAAATGAACAAAGGAGGTAATGTCTATTTTTTCCAATTTGTAAAAAGTAAATTACTAATTTGTAAAAGTTACTAAATTGAGGAATTTTTAATATTTCCCTTTTTCCTGCAAAGTAAAGAAGTGGTTACAATAAAACTTTTTATGTTTTAACTCCTTGAAAAATTGCTTTTCTACAAGTTAGATTAATTCCATTAACTATCATGGCCAGTTTAATTGCAGACAGAGCAAAGTATGGATGCTATAGATTTCTTGGGGGGACAAAAAATAAATAAAGAATGGTTATAGTTATGATAATAAGATCTGTCTCAAATCATAATCAACTACTTAAAATATCCTGAGGAAAAAGTATAATAATTTAAAATATGGGAAGAATATGAAAAATGTGCCCAATTTAAATTCAAGTGATTATTGCAATGTTGTGCAAATAACTCAGAAATTATATATTTAAATACCTATTTTCCTTTTAAATTAGTCACTTTGAGAAAATATATACATAGTATAGATATTGTTTCCTTTTATTCAGGACATTTGTTTTCTTTCTGGAAAATACATATTTTTAAAATATTTAATTTTATTTATCTCAAAATTTAGAATGACATTTCTGTCTTTGAGAAGGGGAGATCTATTTTATTTTACAATAAAAAAGACATTACTGTTTAATAAAAAAGTAAAGCATGATTGTAATAAAAATAAGAAGTTGCTTCTCTGACAGTTTTAAAAGACCTGAACTTAAAGGAAAGAGGAAAAAGAAGTACAGTCAGGAAAGAATGGAAAGGAATAAGAAGCAACTAGTATGCTTGGCAACTATTAAGTGTTTTCATTCTAAGGTAGTGTGATGACATACACACATACACATACACTCACTTATAGGTAACCTTAAAGTCCTATATAAAATTATAGGTCAAATGTTAGACACTGAAAATTTCAAAGACACCAATGAACAACCTAAAAAACAAATTGTTTTGAAATACTTTGTAAACACTTTATGGGAGTAGTAATCTGGGAATATTTAGAAAACAGAATAATTGGTAAGAAAATAATTGTTTAAGAAAAGCTATGGAATTTTCACATAATACTTTTGTCTAATTGACATGATCTTTAAGTATTTTGGCCTTGTTGAATGAGATAAGATAAAGAGCTGGGCTCAAAAATTTGACATATTCCATAGGCTTGGTTTTAGGTACTGCTGCTTTCCTCCTCCCCAATTCCACTCCCAATGCCTCCTCCTCCCTTTTGCATTCTCTCTTTCCTTCCCCTTTTTGATCAGAATATTTGGGGCCAGTCTAAGCATAGCCTCATGTCCCAAAAAAGCAACAAATTCAAAAGACTTAACAAATAATAAACAAAATATAAGATGGAGCCATGGCATTCCATCAGAATGATGCTTTCTTCTCCTCCAGTCATTTTTGTTAGTTACTTCTCATCCTTTGTTCTAAAGTCTCAAAATCACTGTTTGCCTAAATGTTATTATCTCTCTTCATCTTCCATCCCCATTTTTCAAGAGCTTTCCTTCAACAGGTGTATATTTTATTGATTTTTTTTTACAGAGAGGAAGAGAGAGGAATAGAGAGTTAGAAACATCTATGAGAGAGAATCATTGATCAGCTGCCTCTTGCACACCCCCTACTGTGGATGTGCCCCCAACCAAGGTACATGCCCTTGACCGAAATCGAACCTGGGACCCTTCAGTCCACAGGCCGATGCTGTATCCACTGAGCCAAACCGGTTTCGACAACAGGTGTTTTTGATAGAATGATTCTAATCTATTTTTATTCCCTTTATAATAAAGCTTGGAAAAATGGAAGATGAAATAAGTATTGAATCTGAGTGGGTATTGGGGAGAGAATATTATATCTCAATAATATATATTTTAAGAAGACTGGTACTTTGAACAGTAGTTTTTGTTAGGTTTCCGAGCCCATGTGAAAGATAGCTTTTTTGTTTGTTTGTTTGTTTGTTTGTTTGTTTGCTTTTTGTTTGTTTTTTCTTTCTTTTTATAAGACATAAGAAAACAGCTAAAAAATAAGAAGCTGAGATCATAGGAGGTTACTGAGAAGTTACAGGCACTATTGACCACTATTAAAGTTGTATATAATTCTACTCTTTTGGCTACAGAGTAAGTAGATGAGAGCAGTTTGAATTTTGTTTTCTGTAGCACTCTGACAGGAAAATTAAAAAAAAAGATTTAATAATCATAACATTTAAAGGTAAGTTTCAATGAATTAAATTATGAAAAAAAGAAACAAAAGTGAATAGAAAAGAGGGTGTGGAAGAAAGCAGTTAAAGTCAAGCCATTTTATAGACAGTAGAATGAAGTCTCAGCATACATGTAGTTAATTTCCAAAAATTAGCTATGCACACTTTCTTTATGTAATTAAAGACAAAAATACTGTGATATTATATTTTCCAAGAGCAGTTTATCAATATAAACTCAATACATTTACTTACAAATATTATTCGGAGTCAAATACACACAATAGTCTACATTTTAAAAAGGTAATTATGATTCTATAAACTTTGTGATATAAGAGATTTTTTTTTGGCACAGCTGAGAGATTTTTAAGGGTGCTTTTTGATTCTATAATTTTTTTCTGTTGGTTGTACAACATCATTTTGCATATTGAGGTGCAGCTTTATTGCTTTTAGAAAGCTTAGGTCTGGGCCCAGGGGTATACCTACCTGTTTATATGTTTTAACATTTTGTTCATTCATATAAATATCTCGCAATATTGTTCATGTGTAGTATGATGTGTTATTTTGAAATGTCAGTTCTCAAACACTGATGTCCTTATCTCTAAGCCCTTGAGCCCTGCCACTATTTAGCATAGGTCATGGGATAGAGAGGTGTGTTTAAAAAAAAAAGAACAGGCACCACCTTAATCAAGGAAGTCACTGTTCAGCATTAAATTATGAAGTGGCTTTTTAAATTTTGTTAACATTACTAGCCATACAATAGACTAAAATCAAGAATTTTGCATTTAGCTACAATGTGAAAATCAAACTAAGCCATAATATATAGTTTGCTACATAAAACTTTGGAAAGTTAACTGATGCTATAATATAGTATTAAGAACATGAAAGTTAACTGATGCTATAATATAGTATTAAGAACATTTGTGTTTCATTTAAAGATTTCTCTCTTCCTAATTTTTTTCTTTTTAAATTCATTTTTAAGGCTGACTTTTGTATATCTGCTTTTATATTAAGCCTCCTCAAATATCTTATGTCAAAGCTTAGCATTAATTTGAATAAGATCCCAGAAAAGTTCATTATAATGTAGATTTAGAAACAGTTAAGAAAACACTAGAGGCCTGGTGCATTAAATTTATGCACTAGTAAGGCGATTCTTCAGCTCAGCCTATGCCTCTCACAGTCCCGGAGCTCTTAAGGGAAGTCCGACTGACTGATGTCCTAAGCCAGTGGTTGCACATCCTTAGCACTGTCACAGAGACAGGAGAGGCTCACACCACCGCTGCTACACTGGCCAGCCATGAGCCCAGCTTCTGGCTGAGCACACTGACCACCAGAGAGGAATTCCTGAATTGAGCATCTGCCCCCTGGTGGTAAGTGCGCATCATAGTGATCGGTCATTCTACTGTTTGGTCTATTTGCATATTAGCCTTTTATTATATAGGTTGCCATTATCCTTAAGTTTAAAAATTTTAAAAAATGTCAGATGAGGTCACTAAACTGGTAGGTCTGAGATATATAGTAGATGTAATGGATTGAAACATCAGAGAGGCATTAGATAAAGTTTCTCATTCTCTAATTGTGAAAAGATCAAAATGATGAGTAGATGACTGTAACTGGTTGAACAACTAAACAAAAAACTGCTGATGGATGAATGAACATGACCAGGAGGAACAGAATACTGTCCCAGTCAGTACTTTTGTAAGTGATTTAGATGAAGATACAGATAGCATGGTTTAAATATGAAGTCACATCTCTGTTAGTCTCTCCTTTTGTGGTTCATTTTCTTCACTTACAGAGTGTTTCATCTTGTTAATTTTTGCCAGTCATCATGCCCCATATGCAGAAATCTTTTTGACTCCTGACATGACTTCCCACCTTAAAGATCGCAATAAATTTGTCAATAAAATATTTAAGAAAATATGGCTTGTGTTTATTCTTATGATTATTGTCTCTCTCTTTACAGAACTTTCATAAGTCTGTCTACAGAGGTTGGCACTGAATTGCTATCTTTATTTACTGATTGATATTTTATCTACAACATCTATAATAATAAAAGCATAATATGCTAATTAGACTAGACACCCTTCCCAATGAAACTGGAGCTGTGAGGGAAGCCCAGCTCCGGAGTGCCAGAGGGAAGTCAGTGCCGGAAGCCAGGGAAACAAAGGGCTACTCTTGCACGAATTTTGTGCATCAGGCCTCTAGTGAGATTCTAATGATCTTGAAAGCAAGACAGGGTTTTACCTTTTTTTTTTTTTTTTAATTCTACTACTGATTTTCCTGGGCTGAACGCATGGTAATAAAATATTTTTGAATGAAAACAACGCAAACTGTTTTTAAATTTATTTACATTTTTTAACCTGTTAACTTTTTGGTCATATCTAAACTGCCTCCTAATTTTCATTGCAACTCTCTGAATGTTGAGGTTCTTCGATGGTTTCAATAAGTTTGTTTGGCTCTGCTTCCTTCGTGTTCTCATAGTGATTTAGTCCCTATATCATTGTGTTATCTCTGAACTCACAGAGTTCACATGTTAGCAAGTCATATATATACAATATGTCACATATAATGTAATACCATTCTAGAAAATTTATCATTCCAAAGTTCTATGAGCGCATAAATATTCAACTTGTGCTAGGTTGTGTCATCAGAGGTTTAATTAAAAAAAAAAAAAGATACACTTACACAATGTGCAGTGTGAGTTCTGAAGGATAAATTAAAGTTCTGTGGCAAAACTGGTTGAAATGGGACGAAGGATGTTGAAGAGGAGCAGGAGGCCACACAGGTAGAGATGAAATAATTCTAAAAGCCATGAGAAGAGACATGAATGTGTGAAAAATACTGATTAGATGGACATCAAATGGCTCAGTGGGCTGGAGCATAGGATATCGGGTAAGGGTGGCTTCAAAGGGAAGCCAAAACAGGTCAGGACCAAATAAGTCCTGAAACAATGCTGTTCACAGAGTGTATATGGCCCAAGGTGAAGTGAATCAGACAGCAATAAAAATTCTGCTGGCACACTGACGTTCGCTGCCATCCTAAATTGAAACATATATTTACACTCTCCACATGGGATGGGAAAGAAACTAGGGTGAAATGTACTTTGGTAAGAAGGAAATAGTTTCAGTCCAACTAAATGTCTGGCGTTGCCTATTCCCTTTGAAGCTTAATTATAAGCTTCAACGGAAGCCTCTTAAATGTTTGCTAACATACTCTACAATATGAGGGAAAAGTTGGCCAAAGTATTTTAAAATCACAAGGAAGCAGTATTACCCAGATCAGGTGATTTACTAGTAGTTCCAACAA